CACAGGGAGACAGCTCAGGGTACAGGAGTGTATGGAGGGATGGATACAGGGAAGAGATAACTATGGGGAGGAAGTGGGAGGGGAGCTGTTGCATTGTGGTAAACTGTGATCAATGTCAAGAGACAAAGTGTATGTGAACTGCTGTATGGAAAGTGAATTTGCTCTGTAAATCGTCACCCAAATCACAATAAAAAAATAAAATAAAATACAGCAGAGAACTCATCACTAACAGATCCTCGATCTAACCCAGAGTTTCACATGGGTAGGTCACTCACATCATTCAAGTATCAGTCAAAAGTCACCATTATCAGACAGGCATTCCTTGACCACTCCATCATAAACAGTAACCTCCCTTCTCCCTACCACGCATTCTTTTTCTTATTCATAGCCCTGCAAAAATGTATCTTTATTTGCTTACTATTGCTTGCTCTTCACTAGACTGGAAGCTCCATGAGACCAGAGACGGTTTTGTTCACAGCTACACCCCTAGCATGTAGATCTCTACCAGGGATATAGTAGGTACTCTATAAATATCATCAAATGAATCCTCATGAAAAGAACTTCTAAAAGAAGTTCTTCATGTAGTTGGAAATGAAAGCAACAGGAGATGCAAGAAGGTGAGCACACTAAACAAATACTGGCTCTCTACAAATGACAATAAAAACTGCGGAAGAATCAGTAACTAGGCTAAACCAACATGGAAGAAGGGAGAGCCGTATGGGAGTTAATGCAGTCTTGCATTATTTGGAAGGGGAGTGGTGATACTGACTATCATCAGACTTTACATCCAGTATGTATATTAGCAATTAGAGAAAAAAAAATAGGAATATAAAAAAATTGCTACAATCGTACAGAAGGAAAATAAAAGAGAAAATAAAATATTGGAAAAGAGAAATAAAAGATATAAATTAAATATACCTTAGGATAAATAAACAATGTAGCCATAGTCTCTGTACATAGATAGAAGAGGCACACTTAAAGACACATAGAAACAGGTCAAATGTAAAGTGATGACAATATAATAATCAAAATAACAGGCAAAATAGGCTTGAAGACAAACATTTTTCTTTGGGATAAAGTATCACTGCATTAAAAAATGGAGTCTCTCAAGCAGAAAATGTAACAATTCTAAATTTGTATGGACCAATAGCATGGACTCAAAATCCATAAAACAAGAATTGAATGGAGAACCCAGTAAACCCATAACCAAAACCAAACCAAACTCACTGCCACCAAGTCATTTATGACTCATTGCAATCCACCTTGGGTTTCCGAGGCTATAAATCTTTAGAGAAGTAGATTGGCCCATCTTCCTTCCACAGAGTGACTGGTGGATTTGAACTACCGACCTTCTGGTTAGCAACCAAATGCCTTACCCACTACACCATCAGGTGAAAGCTCACAATTTTGTATAACTATATTATTTGAATAACCAAATTGAAATGTACAAAATAATGAATATACATCAACTAATCTACTTAACTCACTTAATCCAATTACTTATTCATTGCAAATACATTTTTTCAACAACACAAATGGTGGCTATACACATGGACTTCACCAGATGGAGTACACAGGAGATGTGGCAAGAGGGGATGGAAAAGCTTAATATCTTCAGCCAAAACAAGGCCAGGAGCTGATTGTCGAACAGACCATCAACTTCAAATTCAAGTTAAGACAATTAAAACAAGTCCACAAGAGCCAAAATATGACCTTGAATATATCCCTCCTGAATTTAGAGACCATCTAAATAGATTTGATGCATTGAATACCAATGACCGAAAACCAGGGCAATTGTGGGATGACATCATGAACATCATCCATGAAGAAAGCAAAAGGTAATTAAAAAGACAGGAAAGGAAGAAAAGACCAAAATGGATGTCAGAAAAGACTCTGAAACTTACCCTTAACAGAAAGTAGCTAAAGCAAATGGAAGAAATGACAAGATTAAAGAGTTGAACAATTTCAAAGAGCAGCTTGAGAAGACAAAGTCAATTGCTAGAATGAAATGTGCAAAAACCTGGAGTTAGAAAACCAAAAGGGAAGAACACACTTGGCATTTCTCAAGCTGAAAGAACTGAGGAAAAAATTTAAGCTTTAAGTTGCAATACTGAAAGATTCTTTGGGTAAAATATTGAATGATGCAGGAAACATCAAAAGAAGATGGAAGGAATAAACAGAGTCACTGTACCAAAAAGAACTGGTCGATGT